GTAGGTCAACGATAACGCGAGTGTCCTCGGCGTCACGAGGGGCAGGAGGTCATCTACTGCCGAGAAAGTGCAGGCTGCAGGAGCGATAACGGAAGGCAGAGGGTAGTGCCGCGATTACGTGTACCAGTAACAGGACCGGCAGTGCTGACGCTCTCACTAGCTCCCTAGCTCACTAGCTCACTAGCATCGCTAGGGGTAGCTCGGCGCTTGGGGTAGGGGTTGCAGGTGGACGCGGCCCGTTCACATCTACATATTGTATGCCGTCTGCTCGAGTTTACCGCACTGAATTACCTAGCTGCGCTGCGCTACGCTACCTTCCTAGGGAAGGTGGAGCGGGAAGCGTACGTAGAGAAAGCTCAGGAGGGAAGTGTGAGGAGGAGGAGGAGGAGGAGGAGGGGCGGTGGAGAGTGAAGCGGCTGGGAGGGAGAGCGGTAGGTATAGGCCGTTTCAACCGCATTGCAGAATTACCCAGCCAGGTTCCTGCCCAGAGAGCATAAAACAACCACTGCGAGGCCCGCTCGACTAAATTTATGATGAGCTTATACCGAAATAGAAATAGAAGTGGACCTGCAAATGGAAGTGGAAGTTGAATTCCGTCCAGGTGTACCAGGTGCTCGTAGCACAAGTTGAATTTTCGTGCCATCTCGACATTCGTCATCGACGAACCGTGGGACTTTTAGAGGAAGAAGAAATGAAGGCCCTTTAAAACCCAAAACCCTTCCTTTCAAATAATACGGACCAGTAGGTCCTTTTCCAGCCATTTGCCAACCCTTAGACTTGCCCACCTGTATAAATCTATAAACCCGAACGTCAATCCTTTGAAACCCGCAATGGCCTCCCAGTGCGAAAGAAGAGCTCCGACGAGCAAGGACCTTCGAGATATCTCATCTGTTTGAGCTGAGTTGCGTCTTGACCGCAGTCGCTCCTCAAGGACGATTCACTCTCCCACTGAACTAGCTGGGGTTGCTGTAGCTGATGCTCATGGACCTCCAGCTAAACCCGAATCAGGTCGGGCAGTAACGAGGTGGAGAATTCGATCCGGTGACAGTCGCTACTCCAGGACCTCGTCCTGCTCCACCGTAATCTACTTCTGATCAGTAGGTGTGTATCCCCGGCGCATGCGATCCCTCCGCACGCCACGTCAACCAACCTTCCCTCCGTACACGGATTCTGTGCTCCAGAGACCATCCCGAGGGCTGATAGATATCCAAAGAGCCACCGATCGATCTCCACTCGTTAGGCTGAGTTTGAAAAATGACTGGAGTAATTATGACGGCAAGGTCGACCTTTTGAGCGCGCTCGAGCGACAAATCTGTGCCGACCTGGCGACTGACGATAAAGTGTCCCCGGTGCACGTGTCGCCATTCTGCTCCGTTGACTTTTCAGGGCAAAAATTAAGGTTGCATCATTGAGAATAGACGAGAATGAGGAACCATGTCCCAGCATCCTCGTCATTATCTCTTGGATCTCGACACTATTGGCTGCCGGTTTCTGAAGAAATGATCGAACGGGTAGAGCGGGCTCTCGTGTGCGACGGTTTTCTATCGTTTCTTGAATCACGTTGGAAATCGTACGATGCTCAGTGACCTCTTGAGGCGGGTCACCAGATGCGCCGATGCATCTATGGAGTACATACAATACATAGGATGGAGACAGAAC